ATCCTGATCCTGATTAGGATCAGGATAATTATCCTGATTAGGATCATTATCTGCCTACCTGCCCCCATAAACGACCAATTGAATCTATGACCCAGTTTGCCATTACTGTAAGTTTATGCTCGATAACTGGGAGCATTGAGACCCAGCCAACAGAGTGGCGGGAGGTGAGCACAGTGAGCGCAGAAGCATGCTGTTCAGGAAGATGTGGGTGCATGGTGGGGCGCCTGCTTATGTTCAACATAGATTATGAAGTAGAAACAAACCAAAGGACATTTGAAAATAAATATGAGGCTGCAGAGAAAGTGCTCTCCTCTGTTGCTGCGGGCCGTTACAGTGCCCGAGCTTTTCCTCTCCTCTCACATAAAGGAATATTTGGAAAAAATATATGCACACTGCTCATATGCAAATCAGTGTTTCCAAGGCAAAATGAAATATATAGCTTCTGCTGAGTTTTTTTTTTTTGTTTGTTTGCTTTTGTTTTTTGTTTTTCACTTATCTACTCAATCCTGGAATGTAAGATGACACTGATTATAACATGCACTGCTTTTTCAAAGAACAAATTAAATTTGCTACCATTAAACTGTGACAATCAGTTGGTCACACCAGCCTCTTGTTGCTCTGAAATTTCCTGCATCTGTCCCAAAATATTTGGCAGTTTCTCCTGCCTTCACTGACAGGGCTCTGGACGTGCTAGGCAGTGCTTTTGCCTATTTCTCAGTTACAAAACAAGAACAGCTTCATCTTCTCATTTCTATTTTTCTTAGAACCTGTAAAGTGTTTAGCTATTGTTTTGCCACAAAATATAGAATTGCAGTCGTTCATCCAACACATACCCTGTTAACTGTTACTGTTCCTTTCTCATTCAACAATTAGCATTTTGTTTCATTGCCAAATCATAGACTAACCATTTTGAATCATTTAAATAGTGATTAAAGTCAGCATGCACAGTGTATGTACATAATTCAATTTAAAGGGATGACATTCTGAATAGCTGTGATCAAGAAATGTTAAAACTGGCAGAAAGGAAAAAAATTACGTATTTTAGAATTAAAGTCTTAGAATAGGAAACGTGAATTTTAGAATTGAAATCTACATATATATTTTCTCTCAAAAATTTCCTGTAGTTTAATCAGGCATTACATTGCCTTTTGCCTAGAACCTTTCTTAAGATTCATAGTTCTTCACCTGTACTCTAGATCCTTTCAGTTGCCCAGGATATAAGGAGGACTCATCGGTAAACCTTAGATTTTTAATGAAATAGGTTTTATTCAGCAACAGACTAGTGAAAGAATATCAGGCAGAGAACTGAGACCTGGGTTGAAGTCACTATTCTGCCACCAACTCACATTTTTACTTAGAAGCTCGATTTCCTCACTTGTTAAATTATACTGTTGGTTAGATCAGAAAATTTCAACACTAGCTATGCATTAGAATCATGGGCAGCTTTAAAAATGTCAAAGTAGATTTTGACATGGTTGGGTCTCACCGCAGACCAATTAAATCACAAACTCTGGACATGTGGGCCAGCCAGCAGCATTTCTTCACAGCTCTTGAGATGCTTTAATCCGATAGATGTTCAGCCATGGGTTGACCACTCAGGAGGCTGATCTCTAAAGCTCCTCACCTGCTGTGTAAGGGATGTGGCTGCTGTTAGCTGCCACCAAGTCAGTTCTGACTCGCAGCAGCCCTGTGTGGACAGAGCAAAGCCCTGCCCGGCCCTGCGCCGTCCTCACGGTTGTTGGTGTGTTTGAGCCCATTGTGGCTGCCACTGTGGCAGTCCATCTCGTTGAGGATCTTCCTGTTTTTCACTGACCCTCTGCCTTACCAGCATGATGTCCTTCTCCAGGGACTGGTCCCTTCTGACCACGTGTCCAAAGTACACGAGACTAAGTTTCACCATTCTCACTTCTAAGGAGCATTGTGGTTGTATTTCCAAGGCAGATTTGTTCTTCAGGCAGTCCTTGGTATATTCAGTATTCTTCGGCAACACGATAATTCAAAGGCGTCAGTTCTTCCTTGATCTGCTTTATTCATTGTCCAGCTTTCACACGCATATGGGGTGACCGAAGGTACCGTGACTTGGGTCAGGTACACTTTAGTCCTCAAAGCATATCTTTGCTTTTAAAAATTTTAAAGAGGTTCTTTGCAGCAGATTTGTCCAATGCAATACGTCATTTAAACACTGACATAAGAGATAGTTTACTAAAATGGGTAAGGTCAGGCTCTGAAGCCACCGACCCGACTTGGGTTTAAATCCTGACTGTGCTATGTATTATCAGCATACTGTAAGGTATGCTCTAGTAGAAAATAAGCAGTGAGTATGACGATGATAGTAACAGCAACAATAATAACAACAGCAGCTTGCACTTATTGGCCACTGTGTTTACCACGTTCCAGGCACTGGTCCTAATTGGTTTCCATGTACCAATTCGAGGGATCCTCGTGATAGCTCTGTGAGATTCCAAGTGCAGGTGGCAGTTATCTAGCTGATCCAGTACATGCATTTCTCTTTTTGCAGGTGAAAAAACAGAACACAGACAGTGTTAAGTAATTTGGCCAAGTTCACACAGCTGCTCAGTGGTGGAGCTTGCATTTAAATCCAGGAAGTCTGGC